CTACTTTGGACATGTAGTCCGGAGGAAACAATCATTGGAGAAGGATGTCATGCTGGGTAGGGTGGAGGGTCAGAGAAAAAGAAGAAGACCCCCAATAAGATGGATCAGCCAGGTGGCATCATTGATGGACTCGGGGTTGGCAGCGGTGGTGAGGTTGGCCCAGGATCGAGCATTGTTTCGTTCTGCTATTCATGGGGTCCCTATGAGTCGGTTCCAACTCGATGGCACCTGACAACAACAACAACAACAACTTGTTGTTGTTGTTTGCACCGTAGTGTTGGTTCTGACTCATAGCACCCAAGTATAGGGTTTCCAAGGAGCGGCTGGTAGATTTGAGCCACTGACCTTGCAGTTCAAACCCATGTTGCAGTCCAGTGCTTATCCTAAAGTGCTACACCAGGGCTCCAAATAATATATATATAATGGCTCAAAATGAAACTTTGCTAAAATTATGTTTTGTTAAACACGAATTTGATCCTGTATTTTACAATAAGCAAGAATTCTAGTGTTACACAGCAAGTACCCTTTTAATATTGTGTTTTGAATTAGACTTTCAACTGTAATAGGTGTAGTCTAAGTAGGGAAAGACAGCCCAGAATGCCTTTAAGCTACAGCGCATTGATTCTGAAAAGCCTAACAAAAGCAATTACTTTTCAGAGATTAAAAATCTTGTTTCTTTCATAAGAATAAAGTGGGAAGCAAACCTGGTGTATTATTTGAGCTACAGGAAGTTGTTCAGCATATTTTAGAGGTTCCATTAGTTCCTCACCCATCTGCTCTTCCTTATATCTGAAAAAAAAGAAATTAAGACAATATAAAGCTAAAATATTTTAAAAATCTTAAAATACTGTTTTTAAATATGCTAACTATTTAAGTATGTCAAAAGTGATCTATATTAAAATACATATACTTAAGTTTTGGAAATAATCAGAATTGATCTTGGTGTGATGCTAGAGGATAAGCATTGGATGGTGAACCACAAGCTTGTCAGTTCAAACCCATTAGCTGCTCCTTGGAAGCTGTTTTACAGGGTTGCTATGAGTTGGAACTGACTCAACAGCACTTAACAACAGCAACATCAATAATCTCAGAAACAGTACCTAATGATAGGTTTCCAATGACAGGAGTCTAAATGTATTTTGATTGAATTAATTACTATGTAAAAAAAGAGCTAGCATCACCTAATGGATCTTAGATCCTCAAGATCCTTAAGATTCATTTTGATACTTCAAAATACTTAGGAATTCTATTTTTATTCAGAGTATTTTTTAACATAGCATTTAAAGATCTGCAGACCTGCTCCAACCATATTTAAAAACTTGTCTCTACCAATCCTTTCTCAATTCTCTATATAACTCTGCTCCAGCTGTATCCAAAGACAGTCACTGTATCACCCCTTTCACAGACCATGTATAATCCATACTGAAGGCTGTAGTCTTTGGTCTTCCTTTGTAAATGTTTGAAGCCACCTTCATTTTTGGAAAGCAAGGGTATATATCATATACACACTGCAAGCTGTTAATGAGTCTTCCTCCAATTCTAATGCCACATTCCTTTCATATAGTCCAGCTTCTCAGATTATTTACTCAGCATATAAAGTATGGTGAAAGAATACAACCCAGCCACACATCTTTTTCTATTTAAATCACGCATTATATCCTAATTTTGTTCAAATGACTGCCTCTTAATGTATGTACACATCCCAAATGAACACAATGAAGTATTCCTGAATTCCCATTCTTTATAATGTTATCCATAATTTGTTAAGAAGCACATAGTTGAATGCCTTTATATCATCAATAAAGTACAGACAAACATCTTTCTGGAGTCCTGGTGTGGCACTGTGGGTTAACGTGCTGAACTTCAAAGTCGGATTGAACCACAAGGTTGGCGGTTCAAGTTCACCAGCTGCTCCTCAGAAATCCTATAAAGGGTCGCGATGGGTATGAATCAACTCGACAGTATTTTACAACAACAAACATCTTTCTGGTATTCTGTGCCTTCAGCTAAGAGTAGTCTGACTTCAACTACAATATCCCTTGTTCACAACCTCTTCTGAATCTGGCTTGAATGTATGGCACTTCCTGTTGATGTGGGACTGCAGAGATTTTTAAATTATCTTCTGCAAAATTTTGCTACCATGTGTTATTATTTTATTTTATTTTTATTTATTAAATG